TCAGTCCCGAATAACTGGGGCGTGTGGTGGAAACCAGACACTCTGAATGACTCCAGAGCTCTGAATCTCTCATGTGTTTGTGCTGCACTGTCCTCACTGGCTGGGGCAGCAACAATAAAACGTGGTTGCAGATTGTTTGCAAACATATCCATCTAGAGGCTGCCCTCTTTCCCCTGTCCTCACCTCCTTACTCCCCTCTTTCCCCTGTCCTCACCTCCACACTCCCTTCTGCTTTGTTCCCCGTCCCAAGACTGATTCCAGCTGGAGATCTGACCTGCTGGTGGTTGAGCTGCTCCAGCCCTTCTTTCACCCTGCAGAAGCTTTCTGGCCAGTTTGTGTGTCTCAGGGGCACCTTGCTTATTCCCACTGGTCAAAAAGAAATGTCACCACTTCCTTTCCATAGCTTTCCTCATGCACAGCTTCTTGTTTCCTACTTTTAATTTGTTTAAGAACCAAGGGAAGCCATTGGTGCGTGATTCATGTTACTGCACAACCCCCTCATCATGTCCCACCTCCTTCATGAGTCCCATTCCACCCAGTTTGCAGCTACCACCCTAACCTGTTCCCTTGCTTATTCAGATCTCCATTTATCCCAGCACTTTTACAACTTTCAAGTCATTTGGGATAGACGGAGTTGTGTTGGAGCCTGAATGAAGCACTTATTCTGCCACACCATGCAAAAGGGGGTAAAATCTGCCTGGTACTATGTGAGCTAAGGTGGAATAGGTTTGTAAAGTAGTTTCTGGATCACCAGGCACTCCTGCCCCGTGTTTGGCACAGAGGTGAATGTACCTGCATGGCTGCAAATAAACTGTGTGAGGTTCACTTGACCAACATCAGTCATCAAACTGCAGGTGACTCAGGATCAGGTTGTCAAGGTATTTCCAGGGCCCCAGACTGATGGGGGAATACAGATAAACATGAAGTAACCTGTGAATCTGGGAATTATCCCGCTAGTGTGATGGAAACCCACTGAAATCTCCCTTGGTCTCATGCTTCGGGGTGCTGGTCTATGATCTGCAGCCACGTGGTGTCACAGAGGGCCACATTTCAAGTTAATAGTTTTCAGTTAATAGTTTCTAAGTGAGACATTTTGCTTGCCTCTGTCCCCCCACCAGAGTTTCTCTCTGAATTGGCAGGTCTCTCCATCCTTGCTCCCAAAATAGTTGCCCTCATGAACGTGCAGTCCCAGCTGCAGCAACATCCCAGAGCAATCAGGCACCTTGGAAGGCTCCAGACTCTGTGCTACCACACAACAGTGAGATTCAAGGGTTATAACACATAGAGACCTGTATTCAGTACATCAAACCTCAACATGAACGTCAGGAATTCCTATGAGTGGAATAAATATCCCATAAATATCGTGTATGCAGTATGGTCTCACCACTTCCAAGGGGAAAAACTGAATCAGAGATGAGCCAAAAAAGATCTTCAGCTGGATCAACCTCTGTCTAAGAAGCTACTAAAGAAATCATTGCTTTCCAGCTAGGAAAGGAGATGCTGCCTGTGCCTGCAAGGCAACTGTAAGGCCACGGGTAACACAGGGGAAACAAGGGGGGATGATGACTATATTTTTCTGGTACAAGAGCCAGAAAAGGGCAGGTTAAAAGGATTAAGAGGAGCTGTGCCTTTGCACACTGTCCATAACACTGGAGCTCTTGTCACAAACATTGTGGGTGCTACAAGATTAGGTTTGTTCAAACGGCAACTAGAGAAATCCAGCAAAGGCCACTGAATGTAATGACACTGTGGATGATTTAGGTTGTCTCTGAGCTGCTCATCTTAGATGGCTCGAAGAAAATTATTATTGCATGCTGATGTTGATCTTCTTCCTCAAACATCATCCCCTGGCCACTGTCAGGGACTAGGCAGGGCTTTGGTTTGACCAGTACTGCTCAATTCACAGTCTAAAATGGACTCATTTCATGATGCTTCTCAGCAGGGAACTGGGCTTGCTGCCTCTCTTTGTGGCCTTTGCTACATCTCTGCTGCTGACAAATGCACCACAGTAATATGAGTCTGTGATTCAGTTCAAAACACTTTGTGCTTCTTTGGGATAAAAGGCAGAACAGGGTTTTTTTGCAGAAAACAGAGATTAAAGGATAATGACATTAGCAAGATGCTTCTAGGAGAGGTGATCAACCATGTATTTTCCAGACAGGCACAGCTCTACTGAGAGCTCTCCTCCTGGAAGAGGAAAGGGAGCCTCATTCGTGCCAGGCTCCTTTTAATTTGTTTAAAAGGAACAAAATTTAGAAGGGACAAAACTGTTTCTATGGCATGAAGATCCCATGCAATCTCTAGCTGGTATGACAACATCACACAACATCTTCCCATGCATCTCTCTTGGGGGACTGGGTACCTTGTTACCTAATGTGTTTTCTATGAGGAGGCTTCTGGGCTCTGTTTTTATTCTCCCTCTCTGCTCCTCCCTTGCTGTGGGAAGCCTTGCTCCAGAATCCTTTCCTGTAGGATTTATGATGCAAGACTTTGCCAGACGGATGGTTTTGCTTTCTACCAAGTGGTATATTTGATGGTTGCAGGGGTGATGGCTCCCTGCAGGCTGTGCTTGTTCTTCATCCATGTGCCTTTCAATTTGCACCAGTGCTTTGGTTCATGGAGTTTCAGTGCTCCCTCATCTGATGGCACACTTGCAGTTTATCAGAGACCCACAGCTCTGCTTTCCCCAGTAGAAATGTGCTACTATCTCATAAAGGTATGAATTATACACCCTCGTCTGTATAATGAATCTGCATTCCCCAAATAAATTTTACAGACTCATAATGGCTTTGGCTTCTAGTTACCATTAATCTTAACTGGAAGGGAGAGCTGAATTTCCTACAGAAGTTTGGGAGTTTTCATATTTGAGGGTTTTTTGCAAGCCCTTCACTGGAGGCTTGGTCATGTCACCCTCTGCAGACACTGCAGTGTGTGCACACTCTGCCCACATTTGGCTCCCAGCTGGCTGGCAGGACGTGCCCTCGGAGGGAGCAGCTCTCTGCTGTCCCAGGGCTCTGAGCACTTTGGGTCTTTGCTGAAGCATTTGCCATGTCTGCTGTGCAGAGCACTTTGGGACAGCTCGCTGTGCCCTGGGTGACTGTGAAAATACAGAGCCAGAGGCGATGGTTATTCAAGGCCAGGCGTGGAAACAGCTCTGCTCCGTGCACAGCCCCGCTGCTGCCAGACAGTGGGAGGCGTTGGCTTCCCTGTGGGAATGGAAGACAATGGAGTGGGACAATGCAGTGAGCTTGGCTCTGCCTTGAGCTGAGCACAGGTAACAGCGTGGGCTGCTCCAGCCCAGGGAGAAACTCCCCGTTTGGAGAAGCACTGACCCCAGGTGGGCAGAGAGTCCTAAAAGCAGGAGAGCCAGAACCAGCTTGTCTGGTTGCTCAGGTGCCAAGCATGACCCACATGTGAGAGGCTTCACGGGGTGCTGGGAGCCCTCCTTTACCTGGGAGAGCCTGGATGTGCCCAGCAGGTGGTGGGCTGGAGCCAGAGCATGGGAATGCACCCCTTGGCTCTGGTGGTGTGGGATACAGCCTCTGAGCATCTGCAAAGGAGGGATGAGCACAGGGGCTGCCTGAGGAGTGGGGAGCAGCCCCAGCTCCCTCCAGGGAAGGCTGTGTCTTGCCCTGCTGCTCCTCCTGTAGTTCTGAGTAGCTCCTGCCTGGGGCTCTGGTTCAAGCCTTCTTCCTCAAATCCTGTGTCAATGAGGAGTTCTGTCTCAGGAACGGGTCTGAAGTCACTGACCTCTCCATAAGGTTCATTTTTGCTTTGGAAAACAGGATGGAAGAGAGTATCTCCTCAGAAACCTTGATTGCAACATAAAAGGTGCTGGAAAGTAGGTAGTAGCCACACTGCTGGAGGTGTAACTGTGTTAGGGTCTGGGCAAGGTGGGTAGTCCAGGAAAGGGGACTATCTTTAATGATGTTAAGTATTCAGTCGTAAAAAACCAATGCTTTTGAGTGCCCAGCCCTTCTCTGAGTTATGTGAAGATGGGTCTGCATTTCCCAAAGCTGCTCAGCTTTTGTGACATGTATCAGTTGCTCTAACAAAAGGTTTTTGCCTTCTTAGAAACCTCTGTCTTACCTGTGGAGAATCTGTTTTGGGCTGTAAGTTTGTCTGAGTCATTCAGAGACAGGAATTACAGAGAAATTCTGCAGACTACCTTCAGGGTTTTGGTTTTTTTTTTTTGTAGCTCACATGTCCGGAAAGCTTCTCTCCAGAAAGAAATTTTAGATTTGGAAAAAGCACCTGTGTCCCAGGAAACTTGAGTCACACTGGCTGCCTCTCTCTCAGCGTGAACTGGGGCTGACTGACTTCTCCTGCTGAACTTCTGCTGGGTTGTTCCCAGCAGGACTTCTCCTGTTGGACTTCTGTCGTTGAGGCAGGACAGGGAAACACTCAGAAAATGGGAGGGAGAAATGGAGCTGATCTTGCTTGTGTTAGACCTGCTCCTGGGACAAGGATGGCACTTGCTTCTGGCTCTGAAAACTTACTCCCTCCCAATGATATGAAGCAGTGCAATGTCCTCTTCAGTATCTCTGCACCTCAGTCCAGTATCATGATGTGCTCAGGACTCAGCAGCAGGTCACCACGAGTCTGTGACTCTCCAGTACATCTTTCTCTTGACCTGCTGCCTGCCTGATGTCCCAGGGTTCTGAGCACAAGGGGAGGGCAAGCAGAGGTGGGAAAGGGGCACTCTTCCCTGCAGCTTGCCAATAAGATGACCTTGCCCTGACATGCTGGCCGCTCAGAGGAAGATGTGCCTTCAACTCCTCACTCACTTGGCCAGTTTTTCTGGAAAAGGAAAGGTCAGGTTGCAGCCCCAGGACCCGGAGAGGTGAAGGTGGGTCTGAAGGCACAGGCCGAGGTTTGTCGCTCTGGGGTTTTTACTTTGGCAAACAAACTAGCTGAAAACCATCTGAGGAAGCAGAATTGCCCAACAAAGGAAATAACAATATATCCTTTTTTGTGTGTGTTTTTGTTTTCCCCTGCAGTAACCACAACTCTCTCCTCCTGGTCCGGGCACGCCAGAAAATGCAACGAAACAGCCAAGTCCTATTGTGTCAATGGTGGGGTGTGCTACTACATCGAGGGGATTAATCAGCTGTCGTGCAAGTAAGTGAGTGGAGTTCTTGTGTCAATATGGAAACTACTTGGCTGGGGGAGAGGAGACCTTTGTGCGACTGCCAGAAGAGCAGGAGCTCTGAAATCCTCCTGGCAATTGCAGTTTGAGCTGTGCAGGTTCAGAAGGGGACACAAGAGGGGCAGGGGTGGGGGGGGTGAGGATTTGTATTTTCCTCTTTTTGTGTGTGTCTCACTGTTGACTTTTCCTGGATTTTCTTCCTCTAAGGATATGTTTGTCCTGGCTGTTTCTTTTCCCCTCTTTTCCCTTTCTCCTCTGCAGCTTCAGGGAAACTTGGGTCCCCTCTCCTCTGTGACTGGAGGTGGTCCCTTGCTGGGACCTATCCTTTACCTCTCCTATCTGTATCTCCTGGGCCCAGGTTTAGCACACAGCTCTTCACCCCTCTGTGCTGCTTTGTGGCCACTGCAAGTTGTTTATTTCTCCCCTTTAAACCTGCAATAAAAAAACAAAGACACACATTATGTTATCCTTATGAAATTTCTTGAGGAGGTTGAAGTGGGGCTGCATAGTCTGAGGGATGTGGAATGGGATGTGAGACTTTTTCCCCTCTGGTTCACAGCCAGAAAGCCCAAAAGCATCTCACCCCTCAACCCCCCCAAGCCTAATAGTGACTGAATAACTAGTGCAGTCTGGTTGCCAGTGCTGGGCATGTAGGTACCCAGAGCACACCTGTACCTGCCCCTGGGCTCCTGCAGAGTGAGCATGAGGTGGTGCCCTGGATGTGCATTCACTGAGCAGATGGAGCCAGCTTCTGAGCTCTCCTGGTGACCCAGGCATCCCTGTGCCCAGCTTGGAGAATCCCAGAGCTGACAGTTTTCTCCCTGTGTGGCCCAGAGACCTCTGCATGGAGACACACAGCCAAAGGTGTGTGACAATCTGTGGATGTCAGCCCAGCACCACTGCCACTGAGTGATGTGATGCTCACCACACACCTCAGCTCCTCAGGCCTTGAAGGACACAGCTGAACAGAACCATCATCCTGGAAGGCTCGTGGGCTGGATCACAATGAGCGCAACTTCTCCCTCCTCCTTCTCCTCCAGTGCAGGGCCAGCTGTAGTGGAAGGACAGGGGATGAACAGCATCTTCCAGTTCTCCCAGACTTGCCCCTTTAGGCATTTAAAGAGCTGGGTAGGGCAGAAACCAGAAGCTGTGGTCTTCCACATCTCCTGTGTGTGTGAGGGGAGAGCAGCCCTTGGACACAACAGCCCTGATCTTCAGGGGAGTTGTCTCTGCCATTAACTTCTTGTGCCACTGTAGGCTCACCTTGCCCATGTTCCCCACAGGAAACATGGGGAAAGCCCCATATGATGAAATAAAGTCACAGCCACTATTCTCGTGTAGCTGTAGCCCCAGGAAGCCCCAGCAATTCCAGTCATTCCATTCTGGGAAGGGCTTGAAGCCTGGAGGAGTGTGTGAATCCATAGCTCTATCTGTAAGCAATGTAGTCATGCCAAAAGCATGAATTTCAAGGCTATTTCTTTTGGGAAGAACTTGAATCCAGATCAAGACTTTTCAGACAGGATCAATTTCTAACTGCAATAAGTTACCCGAACTCCTGCCATATGTAAAAATCAGTTTTTCCTAACAAAGGATAGATGTGGGAGTCATCAAGTGTCTTCAGCAGGCAACTCCAGCCTCATAAGCAACAGCCTGCCTTCCAACCAGGTTGCTCTGACAGCTGATGAACAGAGGGAAAGCTCAGTGACGGATTCCATTAAGATTTTATGTGCCACACAAAACAGACCTAATTATTTCATATCATTTGAAAGCCTGGATTCCTTGCTTTGGCAAAATGATTTCCTTTTCTGATGAGTTCCAAGATACCACTTGCTAAAAGCAGATGGCCACTGAACAGATGTGTATGAAAGGGCAGGAAAGAGTTACCCAAATGTGAAGATCTGCACTGTCACTGCTCATCTGCCAGAAAAGATGACTCCGTGTTCACAGGAACCCAGGGGACCCAAGTGCCTTCTACATGGCACAGTCATTCCTCATCTTACTGCTTGAGAATGTTCATTCTCCTTGGGTGTTTTTATCATTGAATCACAGACTGAAGATAAGAAATCCTGGCTTTTGAAGTGGTGTAACTTTAGAGTTTCTGGATTCCAGAGGGCGACAGTTATTGGGGAATGCAGAAGCCTTTGAACTGAACATAGTGTTTCCCATAAAATGGCTCTCCCAATGACATGGATGATTCTCGGGAGGGGCTGCTGATGGATAAACAGACTTCACCTCTGTCTGCCTGCAAACCTGGCAAAGTGCTGACAATGTTCCACGGCTTCCTCGTTGCACCAAGATAGAAGACCTGCTGCTGTGGTTTGTGAAAGATGCCATGATGCAGCCTCGGAGGAGAAAGGAGAGGAGGCAAAGATGCAGGTTTGACCTGCATTTCTGATCTCTGTAACACTGACCTTGGTCCTCCAGCCTCCCTGTGCCTCTGAGACAAGAGCATGGAGGAGATTGGTAGGTCCCTCTGCTCACAACCTCTTCAAAGGCCTTAGAGATAAAATGAGCAGCTTCAGCCAGGAACAACCTGTGTGTCCACGTGCTGTTTCCACTTTGCTCTTCTGATTAGAGTCAGCAGGGACTTGGGGGATCTTCTGGACCCCCTGTGCCAGCTTGCAGCCCTCCTTCACCAGGTGCTAAGGGGATTCTAGCTCCCCAGCACCAGCCTTTCCAATGCCAACCATCAGAAGTTCAGTGTCCCTTTTTGTTACCTGCCACCATCTTTCCTGGAGTGGATTCCATTGTTTGCAGCTGTCCAGAAGCACAGAATATGCTTCCTGTAGATGTCCCCTCTGGCAGTCTGGAGCAAAAAGAACAGCTGAGTTCTCACATAATTTCTTCTCCTGAAGTGGTTCATGCTTGATTTGTTGCAGATATCGACTAAATTGGCAGCTGGCCTTTTATTATTATTTTATAACAGGCTTCCCAGAAACGTGTTCCTCCTGGTCTTTTAAATTCTCAGGAAAAAAGTATTTGCTTGTAATCCCACCTCCTCCCTCCCTTTTCAATGCACTTCAGCTAGACCTTGACAATGGTCTTCCTTTTTTTCACCAAGGAAGAACCCAGAAAGGATTTGGAGCTGCTCCAGAAATTGTGTCTTTTTTGGATTGTGTTCTTGCATAATTTTGTCCTTGATTTGAAGTAAGTTCTGCACATGGTGGTGTCAAAGGAAACCTGAACATAAAACAATCTGTGCTGTTATCCTGACTCTGCAAACAGACCACTTGGAAGTTGGATAGGAGAAGTGGGATCTGCCTCAGATATTGTACAAATTTTCGGCATAAACCTGGGAAATGACTGAACCACACACATACAGAACTGACTCCTCAGCCCCTGTAAATTAACAAGCTCCAGGCTCTCGACAGGAAGAATTTCTTGACCCTTTTCCAGACCATTTTGCTCGGAGAGGCCTTATGAGTTGGACTGGTTTCTCACCAGAACTGTAGGGAAGAGGAGAGTCTGAGTAGAGCAAATTCCAGTGCCTGCAGAAGGGATGCACACAAGCAAGTCTCAGTGCTTTGAGCTGGTCTGAGACACAGGGCAGTGGTGACTGGTTTGTTGTGTCCAGATGAACACAGGTTTGGGATGACTGACAGCTGCTGGTCTTGGGTCTGCCTCCTTCCTGGAGCCCACTGGGTTCTTGGTACAACCCGGAGTAGCTTGAGGCTGTTCTAATCTTTTATTGCTGGTTCCATGGCCACAGGGCTGTGCTAGTGTGTGTATCACAACAGAAATGCTCTTCTTCCCAGTTAGGTCTTGGCACACATTAGGTACAGTTGGGGTCTTCCCAGCCAAACAAAGAAAGCCAAGTCTCATCATTCCACTTAAATGCTCTTCGTGACTCTTGTGTGTGATCAGAGGTGACTGGAACCCTGAGCCAGGATCTTGCATGGGATCAGCAGACTTAAACAATGCTACAGAGCAACACCCCCTTATCATTTTGGACCAGGAGTCAAGCTGAAGGATTTACAAATGCTGACAGATAAACAGGCTTTCTGGGTTTGAGGTGACAGCACTGCATTACGTGAGGGAGTGAGGTCAGAGCACCTCAGGCGAAAAGTGTAAGTCAGAGAGAGAACAAAACCCAAAACAAAGCAAAAGAGAAAAGATCAGTTCATTTCTGAACTAGTTGATGTATCCCAGCCACCAGTTTTCAAAATCACACGTTCACCTCCTCCATGTATATTGCTGCCTGCAGATTTTCTCAGGAAAGGGAAAGGTCATTCAGGAGGGTTAGCTATGCTGGCAGCTTTGGCATGTTTTTCCCAGAGCTCCATCCAAAGGGGTGAACATCAGGCAGATCTCCTATAGCCATGGCTTGCTCAGTTCTCCTGCAGTGCCCAGAGCTGTGCCACCCCTCCCTGTGGCATTTGGTGCTCATTGCACAACCACAGGGATGTCACTTTGCCATGGATATACGAGCACTTCTGTGGGGAGGTGTTGCAACGCCCTTGGAAATGCAGAGCCCTCAGTGTTGAGCTAGGGGTGAAAATCTCCACATCCTGTTCCAAATCCCCTGAACCAGCCAGGACTCGTTCCTTGCGTTTTTCGTGCTGTTTATCTTGGGTGACGACATCAGGTGCCTTCTCAGGTTCAAGTGGCCCGTCTGTGCATCCTGTTCACTGTGTCCTGTTTAATGCACATGTAGCTGTATCAGACCCTCGAGCCCCATCAGAGTGTGGAAGCTGATCCTGCAACTCCAGGGCTCGGTGAAGACAACGGCGCAGAGCCCACGGCGCTGTTGCCCTCACCGAGCCCGGCAGTGGATGTCCCTGAGGTTTGGACTCCACTGCACAGCAAACATGCCTTGATTAGCTGCTCTGGATAAGGCCTCTGCATTTATTCTGGTTGCTTTCTTTTCTTCCCATCAGTGGTTTTGTGGAGTCCAGCCTTTTGGGGCTCTCCAGAGCCTGATCATCTGGGACTGGTCAGGGGACAATGACAGAACTGTCTTCTTTTTCAGCCCTTTGCACAAAAAAGCAACATGCTTGAAACATTTTTTTTTTCCATTTGCTTACATCAGTGCATTGTGTCCTTCTGCTACAGCTTCTCCTTATCCCATTATTTTGAAGCACCTGCTCATTCACATTCTTCTGTAACATGGATTGCTTTATGAGACCTGCCAAATTTGGCATATTATTATTAGGATCTAGGGAAGCAAAGGAAATGTGCCGACCCTTGCAATATTTAGATCAACAGCTGGGCAGTAAAAGTTTTACTTCCATCAGGAACCTTATGATAATGATGTTATCAACTAATAGTAGCAAATAATAATTAACAATCATTATTGCTCTGCCCTGATAAAGGGCAAAATGTCAAAGTTTCTCAATTTTCTGAAATAAGTGCTCTGCAAACAACATAGAAATGGGTCCTTCAAACCATTTTGGTTTGTACTTTTTGAGATGCTTTATCTGGCTAATCATCTTACTGCATTTTTGTTACCATGGAAATATTTCACTGCAATTCACCCTGAACCCAAGAGCAAAACTTTGTGGATGTTTTGGAGGTCTCAAGGTCAAAGTTGAAAGAATCAGACATTTTCCAGCAACAACAGAAAACAGAATCTGGACAGAAAAATCCCTGACCAGTTTTACAAATGGCATTTGCAAGTAAGTCTGAGATGTGGCAATCAGGAGCAGAGGGATGGAGTTAAGCCAGGGCAGTTTTAGGGTTCTTGACTCTGGCTGGAGAAGGGACAAGGTGCTGTCTGCAAGAAGTTGGTGCAGCCTTTTCTTTCCCCAGGACTGTTCCTGCAGACACATCCTTGTCCTTTTCCCTTGGCCTTTGAGGAGAGACCCATTTGGCCTCTCTGACAGCAGTGAGGGGACAAGAAACTCCAAAGGTTATATTTGCAGGAATGGTCCACCAGGTGTGTAGTCCCTGCAAGAGCTTTCCAAAGAAGGAGGGACTCTGTTTTTCTGGGAGATCCAGACAAAATCTCTTGGCCTGGGATCAAATGTGCAGGAAGAAGGATGCCATGATCAAAGACCATCTCATGGCTCTCAACTTTGGTGAGCCTGGACTTTAGTGTATCCCTCACTGAAGGAGAGCTGCCCAGAAGCCCTTACCACTGGCAACAGATTCTGCATGCAGAATTCATTGCTCTTCCTGTCTGGACTGGGAGACTCGTGTACCGTGCATGCTGGAAATTTCTTTCCTAGAAGTCACATCTGGAGCTACAGTGATAAATAACAAATCATCTTCACCAGCCTAGAAGTACGAGGCAGCTAAAAAGAAAGTAACCAAAAACACTGCATGGTCTCAGAGGTCTCCTGGTCACTGTTTCTGCCTGCAGCCTTCCTTATGAGGAGCCAGAACCCAGGTCCACCAGAGCGGCACTTGCGCCTCAACACTTTGCACACTAGTTTGGAAGGTGACAGAAGGTGCTCCTGTCCATGAGGGCTTTTTTTCCTGTCACTGTTCCCAGTGCTGATTCACTAGTAACTAAAGATGAAAAGCCTGAGCTGTCCTAGACACAGAGAAGACAGTTATCTACTGCCTTCTGTCTAGAAAGCTCTTCTCCCCACCCACGCTCTGCTGCCTGCAGAGATCTGAAGATGGGCTATATGGTAGCTGTCATGGCATCAAAGCTTCTTTGACACCTTTCTGTTTTGCTTTTTCATGTGTCACCAATTTCTTTCTCTGGGTTTTTATTTCCTTCCGCCCGTTTTCACTGTTATTTTCAGTCTTTCCTTAAGGACACACAGCCTTGGTCGCGCTGGATTCCCAGCCTTGGCTCACCTCTTGCAGACGAGCAAGTTTTTAGCACCTGAGACAGTTTTAGCTTGTTTCAGACAAAGCACCCCTTTTTGGGGTGGGTGGGAGGTTTGCTTCATTCAGCAGCAGCCCTGAGGACCTTCAGTGTGCTCACAACACACATGAAATCTCAGATCCCAGGAAAACGGGAAGCACGTTGCAAGCTAAACTGGGTTCCTTCAAAGACTGTGAATAAGTTCCTGACTCTGCCAGTGGTGATGAGTAAACTTCAAAAAGGATTGGGAAGACACCTTCTATTTTGGATGCCTTCATCAAACCCCAGTGCAGTCTCTTGAAGGTTTCTCCAAAGTCCTGCTTCCCTAGGGATGTCCTTGTGAGTATGTGCCACCCAAGCTGCCTCAGGTTTGTGCTCTTTGATTGCCAGTGGGGCATCTTCTTCACTTCCCAGCACCAGCTTCCTCTGCTTCATCACTGGGAAAGTCAAGAGGCCTCATGTCTGATGGTCACCCCTTGGGCTGGGCTTTCCTTGGCAGCTGAAATGACATTGCTGGTTGTGTCTCTCTTTCCTGTGCTCCAAGATGAATGTCCAAGAATGAGAAAAGAGAGGGAATTTTTTGAAGATATTTGCCTGACTAGGTAGTCAAATTTCCAGTTTTGGAAGTGACTTGTGTACTGAAGTGTCTGGCTGGGGAGCTCAGTGCTGCCCAATGCAGAGCCATGCCCTCGAGGTCACCCAGCACACTCCCACATGGACATGTCCCAAAAAACAAATGCTGTCTAACACAAAAACCAGATTTAGCCATGGGCAGTGAAGGTGCACCGGGGTTTTTTTGCACAGTGCAGACCCTCCAAAACTGCAGTGAAATCCAGCAAGAAATCAAGTGTCAAAACCGGGTCGACCATTCGGGGCTTTCCAAAGGTTGCTTCTGTGAGAGGGATAGCAGGTGGAATGTTCCGTGGACCTGGAAAACCCTGCCTTGAAGAACTGGGAAATGGTTCTTTAGGAAAGGACAGGTTTGAAGTTGTGGAGGTGTTGAAGTCCAGAAGGACAATAGATGGAGAGATTATGCAGCCTTTAACTGGCTATATCTTCTCCTTGGATCATGCAGGATTCAGAGGTGCGTCTTTACACCTTGCCCTGCCTCATGCTCAGCCATCTGGTGCCTCCTCAGGCCCATTCCAGACCACAGCTGGGTCTCACCTCTCCCATTTGGGAGTGTGTATCCCTGCAGGCCTGACTGGTGGGCTGGTGTACCCCTGGTCTGTACGGCCGAGACCCCCCAGTGCTCCCTCTCATCTCCTGACCCAGATCAGTGTATGTCCATTGTGAGGTACAACTGTTAAAAATCAAGGTGTTCTGCACACAGCCCTGAACCTGGGCTTGGGCCTGGATCTGCCCTGCTCCATCCCACCACATGGACAGGTTGCCTGACACTGTGTCAAGGCTGCTCTGGCCTCTTACTGTGCTTCACAGCCCAGGGGCTGAGCCACTGACATCAGACTTGGCCTCTGCTCCATGTGCTCTTTGCTGAGGTGTCTTTCAGTCCCTTCCTTGTTGAGCAGTTGCAGAGCACTGAGGGACAGCACTGAGGGACAGCGAGACCTTGTGGGTGACAGCTGAGACCCAGGAAGGTCTGACATGTACAAGGTGCAGAGTGTGCAGCTCCACTTACCCTGGGAAGCTGGAAAACAGATGTTAGGATGCTATGAAGAGAAAACCCTCCTAAGCTCAGAGGAGGGAGAGGCTGGTTGAGAAGGGAGTGAGTTGTGGGACAAGCAGGTGAGAGCTGGGACTTGAAGAAAGCTGGGGATACTTTGCGGGACTCTCCAAGGAATCCAGAAGAAAAGATGTGAAGTGAGGGAGAGAGACAAGTGCCTGGGGGAGAATTATTTGACCACTCAAGGCTGGGCTCCCACTGCATCCCAGCTTCACCTGCAGCTGTGGTGGGACACGACACAGAGGGTGCTGGTGCTGCTGCACCTTCCTGGACCCTGCCCATGTCCCTGGGCTCCCAAAACATGGCTCAGCTGGGGGGATACTCATGGGCTGCTGCCTGTGCCTGGTGTCCTTCATCTGCAGGGCACCTTCCCTGCCACTGCAGCATCATTCCAATGTGGAACTGGTGGCCATGAGTTGGCACATCCTGACCCATCAAGTGACACTGGCTGGGACACCCTGAGGGAGCCTCGCAGCTGGACAGCTTGTGACACCTCTTTGGCTCAGCTTTCTTCTCTGTCCCTTTCTCTCTGTTAACACAGAGACTCTGCACATGCTTTCTCTCTACCTGCCACGTAACCCTTTTTCCCTGGAACACCCCTGGATATTTCTGGGGTGATAACAGGGACACACTTTCCGTACCCAACGCTCGCTGTCGCCTGAGCAGCCACTCACTGCTCTGTGGTGCCTCTTGTCAGTCTTGTCTAGAGAGCAGCTCCTTGGAGTCTCTGAAAGCAGCATCCAGCCCATCTCAATCTTCCTGCCAGCTGGTGCTTCTAGCAGGTGAGAAGGAAGGAGGCAGGCAGAGCAGGACAGGGCAGAAGGGTTTGGTGCCTGCTTGAAGGCCCAGGTCAAAGCCAGAGCTGGAATACTGATGTTTGCAGGTGCCTGGTTAAAGCAAAGCAGAGACTAAATACACCTGTAAAGCCTTTATTTTTTTTCCATTCATCACAATGCACTTTTTTTTATTTCTGACCTCAAGAACTGTGCCAGACATGTTCTGTGATTTCTCCCCTTTTCCCCTCCAGATGTCCAAATGGATTCTTCGGACAGAGATGTTTGGAGAAACTGCCTTTGCGATTGTACATGCCAGATCCTAAGCAAAGTATGTTTGAAGACAAAAAAATGCACCACACTCCTTAAAACCTCCCGGGCACAGCGGTGGATGTAGAATGGTCTAGTCAGGGATGGCTGTTGGTGTCAGCTTTGGGCTAGGGCTTAGGGCTGCAGGTAAGGGTGAAGGCTGAGAGCAGACGGATAGAAGCCATGCAAGGGACCTGAAGGGGCCTCAGTTCAGCCTGTTTGGGTGTCATTTTGCTATCTTGTTTCTCTCTTTCTGGTTTTCTCTCTTCCGGTAGGTGTCCGATCGAATTCACAGGAGACCGGTGTCAGCATTTCGCAATGGTCAGCTTCTCCAGTATGTCTCTTTCTACTTCTCTCTCTCCCTCGTTGTTGTAGCTCTGTGTCATGTCCTTAAAGCAGGTTCTTCTGTTCTCCAAGAGCCCTCTCCCTGCCTTGTGCGCTCCCAGCTCTGCTTGGCCCCAAGAGGAGCTGTGACCGTGGCCAAGAGGAGGACTGGGGGCTCTTGTTGTCTCCCTGTTTGTTGGAATGGGCTCTGCTTTCATTTCTGATTGAACTGAACGCTGCTTGCTCTTCTCAGGCAAAAGGCAAACGAGGCCCAGGGTTATGTGGTGGGCGTGCTGTGTGAGACAAGCTGTGTGTGGAGCTGTGCCTGCCAGCACTGCTGTCCCGAGACACTGTGCTGGGCAGGGCAGGAGATGTGTATTTTCCTGTCACTCTTTGGGGATGGCAAGTGAGTCTCCTTGTACCAACGGAGGAAATCACAGCGAGGGTGTGACTGTAATGAAATCACTTCACAGTCTGTGACCCAGAGGTTACACTGGTGGCTGCCACTGCCTCAGGGCTTCCCACGCCTCAGTGTCACGCAGGATACAGGCTAAACCTGCCAGCTGGGCATGTCAAGGAGTTCTCCATCCCTCCTGGACATGGAGATGTTCCTGTCTCTCCCAGGGGGTTGGTCAGCCTTGCAAGCTGGGTTGTGTCTCACTGCAGTGACCAATACCTTAACATATTCAACAGCTGTAAAGAGCCTTTGCACTTAATGCTCCCCAGTTTCTAGTTTCCCGTTCCTACAGATCTCATAGACATCATCAGCTCATTTTGGTCAAGGTGGATAATTTTTCCGGGTCCTTATTCAGACAGTGTCCCAGCATCAGTGGGATCCTGGTCTGGGTAAGGACTGACCTGAAAGGAGGCACAGTTATGGTGCAGGAAATCAGCCACGGTGATCCTGGCTGTGCCCCCATCCTGTGACCCTCCCTGTAACCCATCCTGTCTCCATGCTGGCCACTTGGACCACCACAAGTGGTGGGTTTAAAAAGAGGCTTTTCAAAAAGAGCCACGAAAGAGGCTTTAATTAGTGGGAACCAGAGGAGAAATGCCTCTTCAGGATAACTCCTTGATTGCCAGTACCCCTCTCCCACCGCTCTGTGAGGAATCCTGCAGTTCCCATCCTGAACTGGCAGTAGCAGGAGTCTCATTAGCACGTGCTAATAGCTGGCAAGTGCTCAAATTAAACTCCCTTCCGTGGAGCATACAGACAAATGCAAATGGACTTCATGAGGCCCTTGGGACAGCTCGATGTTTTTACGTTTCCTTTTGTTCCAAATTGGCCTCCGAAGCTGAAACCTCCATTGATTTATCCTCCCAGGCTCCAACATCCAAGCAAGCTCTCTCTAAAACGACAAAACAAAATGTTCTGGTTTGATCTTTCACGTGGTGCAGAAGGGTTTCTTCCCACTTGGAAGTCTTTGGTGTCAGGGCCCCTGGCTGCAAACACCAGTGGGATGCTCACCTGGTGAACTGATTTGTGTCATGTTTCATAAGGTGGTGTCCAACAGGCTTAAACATTACTGCTACCACGCTGCAAAACCAAAACGGGGGGGGAAATGAGTTTTATGTCAGGAAAATGCCCTTTTCAGAGCATTCATTGCAGGAGTAAACTGTGTGGTTTGGTTTTTTTTCTCAGCCTGCAGAATCCAGCTTTTTATGGGGCTGAGATTTGTTTTAATTTTATTCACGTGTTAAAGGAACAATGCCAGCTTTAAAACTGACACGTGTACATTTCCTACCTCAACCCTGCTTTAACCACAGCATAGTAAGGTAAAAACAGCTCAACAATCCAGGCTACCTGTCTGAACTTGGACAAAATTCACCTAAGAAGATGATTCATATGTGTTTATAGCTGTTTTCACTTTCAGGTCACAGTTGGGTAATATAAGTGGAGGCAGCACTGCAGAAAATCTTGCTGATTTTCTGAATAGGAAAGGCATTTCACTCGAGTGTGGACCCTGCAAATGCTTACCTTCTACTTTAATCAATAATCTGGGCACAGTAGAAGTTGCTGTTGTTCTGTAATTTGCTCAGTGCTTCGTCCCACATGGGTTCTGACAGGTCAAAAGCCAAAACAGATTAAATGGGGTTCAGGCATTTCCACTGGAAATAAAATAGCTCTGTCCTGATTCATGATTTGATAACGCTGCCAGCGTTTGACAGATACTTAAATAGTAAATAAGGACACCTACATTGCTGGTGTTTTAAATGTATTTGGGGTATTTTAGGTTTCCAGGCCTAGATTGAAACCTTCTGATTCGTTAATATAAATAATAAATATTTAAATTACTTTTAGTAGGTATATCCCAGGGCTGAGGGAGAGTTTGCAGTGAGCTAAATTGCAGATACTGTTCTGAAAAGGTGTGGCAGATACTTTGCTGAATTTGGGCCACAGATGGAGATGGTGCAGCATCCCAGCATCATGCCAGATGTTGTGTACTTTCCTTTTGGGAGCAGCTTCCTATCTCTCCAATTTAAACCCTTATTCAGATTTTGCTCATGTAAAACTCCCCATGTTCTTCATGACTTCAGGCTGTCTTTGTCTGTTTGACAGGTAGCTCTGGAGGTTTGTTTTGATTTGATTGCCCAAAACACCTGCTAGACCACTGCAGTCATTCAGATGAAAATTGGGTGTATTTAGATAGGTTTTCTTGCATGTGATGTTTCTCTATGTCACTGTTACAACCCTATGAGCAGGTACCCACTGCCAGCCCTTCTGGGTATGTACCCCACTGCTTGAAAATGAAGAGGAAATGTTAAACTTGGAGATTTTTTTCCATGTCACGCTCACACTGTTGCTGTTTTCTGACAGATTGGTACAGAGGAACTCATTAGGAGTTGTATTATTGGGCTCGGAGACCCCCCAGCCAGTCCCGACTCAGCCCTGGTTTGGATGAATAGAGTTTGCTTTTGGTAGGAATTTGCAACAGCAGGATTCAAGCAAGTGATTCAAGTCAGCAGGTGGTTCCTGTTCAGCTTACGACTTCACATTTTAGCTTGGGAATGTGCTGAGATATGGCAGAAAAAAAGTGAAGCATTCTAAAACAGCCACTTACCTGGGAAAATGGATGCAAAGTGCAAACAGACACCACAGCTCTGACCCAGCCAGGTGCCACTTCTGAGCAGAGCTGTGGTACCTGGCTGTGTCAGCTCTCTGAGCCTGCCTTTAGGCTGAGCCTGAGTTAGTCTGAGCCACCCTGATGGTCTGTTTCTGAGCAAGGCTCACACTGCAAGGAGGTCTGAGGCACTGTGGCTTCTCTGTGCTGCAGTGGCGAGGGTTGAGCTGCCACCAGTGATGGACAATAACCCAAAGCAGATGAGGGCCCTGAGACACTGAGGCATAGCAACCCCACATCCAGGGAAACCTGAAGCTGCTTCCTGTTTATCATAGGTCAGCTGTAGGGCAGTGGGGACAAATGGCTTTCCCAGAGTCATCGAAACAGAAAACCTACCAGCAGAAGGAAGGGGAGATGTCAGAGCAAACAACTGCTCACTCACTCCGATTAAAATAGTTGGAAGGTACATATCTGAGAAGAAAAAGATGTCCTGACTTAGGATGTGCTGACTTTAGCCTGTCTAGATGCCTTTTGTCAGTATGAAATGTCACTGATCTCAGCGGGTCTCTGTGCACGCTCCTCCACCCACACATAAGGAATTGGCTGATGGATCAGGGTTAGGAGATCATGTTGTTTAGCTTTTAACTAACCTGTGAGAAGAGAGCCTTACAGAGGCTACACAATATAACTGAGGGACATTAAATCAACATTTAATTGTAGTAGCAATTGTAATGTAGACTGAAGGAGAATTAATGGCATTGAACTGAGAGGATTGTCTGCAATTTCTACACAAAAGAGAGGAATGACCTGGTAGATGAGAAGAGAGAGAATTATTTCCATGGTGATGAGTCATTAAATCCTCTTGCTAATATGTTTTTCACATCAAGGTCTTCAAATTTCTATGTCTCCACAGACAAACTCATGGGTGTAGCTGTTAGGTGGCTCCTGGTACTGTGGTACAGGTACCTGCAGGGTCACAGGTGTCTCTGTCTGGCTGTCCATGCATTAGTGAGAACAGAACACATCAAATTCTTGATCCACAGCCAGAATGAATCCATAGCACAGGTACCCACGGACCATTAAGCCTCTGCAGCCAGATTTTCCTCTCTGCTGGCACACCTGGGTGAAAAGTTTAGCAATATCCAAAAGAATCAGAAATTTCTTCTGTGAGCTTCTAGTGGGTGCTGGAGACTCACCCAGTGGACAGTTGTCTCCTTCATAGGCACAGCCATGGCTGGCAGCTCTTCCCAGAAGACACAAGCCTGTCCAAATTCATCCTTCTTTCTAAGAAACTATTTTATAAAGCTTGTGCTGGCACCTTGTATTTCATAGCTGCCTGTTTTACATCAGATCGAGATCTAGCTCTATATTCTCTCTTCTACAAGCAGTTTTTCAGGTCTCTGTAAAATCCTCCTGGAATTTTACTAATAAATTGCCAGGCTTTGGGCTGGCTGGTTTTAAAGATTTCATGAAACACATTGGCAGCTATTTCACTCCTGGTGGGGCTGAGATACTGAAAGTTAAACGTGCTCAGCAGGAACATTTATACATTTCCTAAGTCTGCACATTTGGATTCTTTCCATTTGTGATTTATGGAACAAGTTAGAAATTTGGGGTAAAGTTTTCTATTTATGCTTGCCTCTTGTCCGTGGAAACCCAAACTTCATCTTAACTTTGCTGTTTATTCATGTCCCCAAATAATCAGCACCAATCTGGAGAACAAATGTCATAGCATTCATCATCTTGGTTAGTGAAACATTTTCATTTTCTACTTTGTGACCCAATTAAAGTTGCAGTATGTAGCCAACCTAGAATAGAGCTGACAGTCATATACAATGTCATCTAGCATATTCTTCATTTTTACCCCATATTTAATCGTGGTTTCTTTATAAATTGATTTTCAATTCATAGTTGGAGTTTTCCTACTGGTCTGCTTGGAAGCAAAGAGCAGGATTTCCAGATATCCATTGGCAGAGCAGCTTTCTTTCCAACCTGTTCCCACAACTGGCTCCATTGCTTCTGGCTAAACTAGCATGGAAGTGGAGCAGTGTAGGTTTATTGGGTGAGAGGCTTCTTGTCTCTCTGAAGGATGGTCCCTTGCACTCAGAAGTCACTGGCTGCAGCCAGAGGAGTGTTGGTCAGGTCATCACCCTGACATGGAGAAGTGACCCTTCTGGTGGGTGGGGTTTGGAAACCTTGCTCCTGACACTGAGGTAAAGTGTCCTCATGAGCAGAGGAATAAATGAACCACTTCAAGCTCTTCTGGGAAGGTCTTGATCTTAATTTTAGCTTCTCTGTTCACTTCCTTTTTTTTCAGTAGTAGTTTTCTACCTGATGCGATTGCAATAAGCAAAAAAATATTTTATCTACCTTTCTACTTCCTTCTCTACCTCTTACTCATCTGACCCCCAAACCAATATTTAGCAGCATTTTAAATTCCACAGACATTCTGCAGCTTCCTTTCATTGGCATTATAACTGCTGACCACTGAATTACAGGGTGATGGCTATGCTTGGTGTGGCTGGGTAATTACAGAGTGTTTGTGGTTTTTCATAGCAGGGTGATTCCTCTCCCCTGGAAGTAGTACAGGTTGCCCTTTGGGATGTCCTAAAGTTAATTGCGTGCTCATCCACAGAAGATTTTGAATACCCTGTTGTTGTGTATCTGGATTTTTGAGGCCAACCAAATGATTTTTATTGTTACAGTACTGGACAAGCTAAATGTCTGCGGAGTTTAGGGAAAGTTTACAGACTTTCTTTGCTTGAAGATTCCATGTATTGCCCAGTCCTTAACACAGGCACAGGGTCCTCTTCTCCATCTTGTCCCACTGTCCTGCATTGCTCCCTGTACTCACTGGGAGAAACCTGGATCAGGGACCTGCAAATGCTACTCTTGTCAGTACAACTGATTATCAATAAAATTATTATCAATTTATTTTCCTGCTGGCCCTCAGAAGTCAATTCTCCACTTTGTTTCATGCCTTGGAGCATGCTCTGTGTTCCAGAGAGCGTGTTTGGGGGGGATAATGCATAGTAACTAAACATCTTAGCAACATTCTTGGACAACCTGAAGTCCAAGTGAGCACGGGCCCACTTTTCAGAGCTGTTTGCTGAGGATTTTATCCTTCCTAATCATCCTACAAATCTACAGATCAATGAGAATCATCTCGCTTGCAGCGTTACTCCTACAAGAATATTTTAGATTAAATGTTTTTCGTCTGTCCATCTTTTAAAGTAAGTAAAATACGTCATAGACAAAATCTTAGTCACAAAGGCACTGCAGGTGAGGTGAATGTAGGACTTTGTCTTTTGTCTGATGGTGAGGAACAGCATTGTCAGTTTGTCTCTGCTGCTGGGATTCATCCATTTCATTTTAGCCATCCCAAAGGCTCCCTCTGCCACGAGCCTGGGGTGCAATAACACCTCCCCACTGCGTGGGGGGAATCCCTGTCTGGAGGGGCTGGAGGACCTGCCTGGACCTCCTGCTTCCTGCTGTGGGGTTAAGGGCTGCAGAGGGGACTGTTGCCCAAAGGTTTCTGGGCACCCCTGAATAGGTCTGTCAGAGACCACCAAGTTGATCAGAGGGACGGACCAGCTCTGCTATGAGGAAAGGCTGAGAGAATTGGGATTGTTCAGTCTGGAGAAGAGAAGCTTTGGGGTGGCCTTCCAGGACCTGAAAGGAGCCTGCAAGAAAGATGGAGAGAGACAATTTACAAGGGCCTGGAGTGACAGGGCAAGGGGGCTTCAAACTGACAAAGGGCAGGATTAGATGGGATATTGGGAAGAAATTCTTCCCTGTGAGGGTGGTGAGACCCTGGTTGTGAGTGAGACAGGTTGCCCAGAGAAGCTGTGGCTGCCCCATCCCTGGAAGTGTCCAAGGCCAGGTCGGGCAGGGCTTGGAGCAACCTGGGATAGTGGAAGGTGTCCCTGCCCGGGGCAGGGGGTTGGAATGAGATGATTTTTAAGGCCCCTTCCAACCCAGGTGATTTCATGACTATATGATCATATTGAGTATCTTCTCCACCTAGCAGAAAATACTACCCTAAGATTTTAAAGATATATTGCTCTTCCTGATAAACATCTTAGAACAGTAAAAGAGACTTCTTTCAACCATGGTGCACAGTCAAGAAAATTTTTTGCTCCAATCCAAAACAAGTTGTTGTTTCCAGGAGAAACTTTGATTTCTCAAACATGTTTGGTACCAGTTGGAATGCTGTTGATATGAAATCAGCACACACTGTGTGGTAAACCACATTTTTGAAGATGATGCCCCTCTGCTGAATGCAGAGCTGGGGCCACCTCATTAGCCTCTGCCTGGATTGCAAAGTGCTGAATTATTTTGAACAGTCTCTTCTTTAGAGAACACAAACCCTCCAAATCCCAGCCTGCTCTTGAGGTGTCTCCTCCTTCACCATCCCAGCAGGGAAGGCAATACCTGCCCATGCTGGGAAGAACACTGAGGGATGGGAAGGGGAGAGTGACTCCCTGTTTGATGTGTTCAGTTATGGGTGATAGAGAAGCAATGTCTGTATCCTCAAGTGATGCTGGAGAAGGGTTGAGTAGCCATGGAATCAGATACAGGAGCACAGGCTGGGGAAAGGCTTCCTCCACCTGCAGAGCTGCTGGTGGGTTTGCAGGCACAGGGAGGCAGGTACACTCCAGCTGCTGTGTGGTTGCAGGGTTTCTCTCCTGCTCAGGGAGCCTGTAGCTGAGACCCAGGGATCTCAGCTGTGTCTGAGCTTGAGGAGCCAAAAGAAAGACAGTTGTCGTAGGAGAGGGACAATGGGAAGGCTCAAGCTCCTCAGGCAAAAAATTCATGAAAATGTTTTGAATTGCATCCATTTGTATCTGCAGATGTTGCAGCAAATCCTGGGACAGGGAGGAAATGTGGCAAGATAGGCAGTATGCAGCTATCAGATGGACCATCAGCTTAGATTTATGGCTGAAATTTGATGTATCTCTACGTGCATTTGTCAGTGTCAGGGGAAACAGTGTGTGCAATGATAGAATTACTCAGGAATAGGTCAGGGCTGGATGTGATAACCAAGAGGTTTAGAATGAATATTCTGTCCAGTTCTCTGCTGCCCACCACATTATGTCCATGTCACTGCAACTTGTACAAAATGCCTGTGAAATGCACTCTGGAGGGTTGTTTTTAGAGTTTTTAAGAGTTTTTTTCACATGTGAGATGTGAAACAGAGAGCAGCCAGGTTTTGTGGCCTTTAAATTATACAAAATTTTAAAAAACCACCCAACTCCCAGCCCCCCCCGCCAAAAAAAACCCCAAACATCAGCATTGATTTGAAGAGAAGAACCTGCTTTAGAACACGCGTTTACATGTCCGTAATGATTAGTGCTAATTCCCCCCTCCCCGCCTAAATTTTGAACAGCATTGCAAAAGAAAGCCAATATTTCTGTGCAGCACAAAGCAGTTCCTATGGAAAACATAGTAACTAAATCTGGACATCTCCAAGCTGCAAATAATCTTGTGTGTATGGTGCTTGGGAGCAGCAGAGCTCACTTTTGTGTACAGCGGTAAGTATGGAGAACTTTAATGTTTGTGTAAGAAAAACTGTCTGTAGGAGAGGTCTGTAGCAGGAAAATGACTGAAATCCAGGATAGCTGTTTTTGGATAACTGTGTGGTTGATTTTTTTTGGGTAAACTCCTGTGCTTGGCACTGCCCCTGCAAGAAGAACTGCAATCTCGCACTTGTTACGAATGTTAATCTGAAAGCAGACGCTGCAGTCTGGGCTTTTTTGCAGCATGCTTGTGTTTCTAAAACAACGCAGAACCACAGCAGAAGTGAAATTGGGAAGACCAGAGGCTTCAGGGAAACCTGCAGTGCAATTTGCACTTTCAGACCTGCGAGGGACTCCTTGCCTTGCCCGGGCAGCTCGTCCCTGGCAGCGCCGGCGATTCGAGGCAGCCCCGAGCTGCCCAGAGCGGTGCTGGCACCACTGACACACCACCAGGAGACGGGCAGGCCCTGTGCCCGGTGACACTGTGCACCCCAGACCAGACTGGGCAGCAGAATGGGGCTGGCAAAGCCTCGGGGCCCGGGGCACACCCCCACACATCTGTGTCCCTTTGGTGCTCAGCCCCCGGGCACAGAGGGGCGTGGGAACCCGGGCAGGGCAGATCTGGCCTGTAGAGAGGGAAGGAATGGGTTTTTCCCAGGTTCCTGCAGTCTCTATGTGTTTTGACCTGTCAGGAGTTGTTTCAGAACAAGTGTACCTTTCCTTTTTTTTTTTTTTTCCTTCCCCCTGCCTAAACTGTGAATTCCATATCAGGTACTAACAAACATGGCTCATCTCAAAAGAATTCATAATTAACTGAAAGAATTCATAATGAACTTCCACTGCAATTTGTTTGGGTCTTTCTTTGCATAACATGGTGGGGATTTGAAATGCTCTGAAGCATACAGTGTCTGTGTGACTGCTGCTGAGCCTACCAAAAGCTAACCTGCTGTAACTGCACGGTGTGTGTGTTTGTATTTTAGAGTTCTCTGACAGACCTGTTTTTCTTTTTCTCTTTCTCTTCCTTGTCTTCTTTCTGCATTGGCAGAGCATCTTGGATTTGAATTAAAGGGTATGGAACAACCATTCATTTATTAATCAGAAGCCATTAAGAGCTTCCCACATTATATTTATGGCTTTAATGGGATGATTAAAAAATCAGCTGTTCTGTTCACTTCCCTGGCACCAACATAGATGTTTGGATTGGGAAAAAAAAACCAACAAAAAAAAGCAAAACAAAACCAAAAACAAAGCAAATCACAAATTCTAAATGTAAACCTCTAAAAAAGCATGTGTATTTATTTTAGCAGCACTTTTTTCTTTGTTCCAAGCAGCAGCCTGGTGTGTGTGGCGTGACTGGGATGTTACAATTGCCATACATCTCCATTCAACACCTTTTTGTGTATTTAACTGAAAAGCAGGAGTTTGTGCCCATCCAAAAAGTTGCCAGCAGGAGCAGGCATTCCTGGAACAGGAAGGCAAATTTTAGGAAGATCAAGGCTCCTATAGAAATTGCCATTCCACAAGCAATAACCTCCACTGGATCCTATGAAGGGTCAGGATGAGCTTTGCCATTCCTCCTCCCAAATTTTAGTGGCTCATTTTTGGTTCTTAACTGGTGAGGAAACTGTTCCAAAAAAGATGGCATGAGATGAGTTAGTCTAGAAAATTAGATCCCAGGGAAGTCATTAGTTCCCCATGAAAGTGGAGGGTGTAATGCTGAGCACCAAGGTGGCAAGCTTGGAAAAACACTGCAGAAACTTAAATGATGTAAAAATATCCCCTTTGGGCATTTACCCAGTCCTGCTCAGCTGTTCATAACCACATTATTTTCCTTCCATTCTCCTCAAGTCTTTTTTTAGAAATAAATCAAGTTACCTTTTGAGTAAGCAGTTGGGAAATCAAATCCTTGAGGTGAGGTTTCCCTGGAGTGTACAAGCCAAGAGCAGGGAGGGCTGGTCAGATGAGAGTAGAGAGATTGGGTAACCTGGTCTGGTGGAAGGTGCCCCAGGGGGTTGGAATGAGATGAGCTTTAAGGTCCCTTCCAACCCAAACCATTCTATGATTCTGTGATGATTCTGTGATTTATCACTTAAAATCATTGATCCAACAGTGTCAGCCAGAGCAGATCTTCATACGAAGATTCCATTTGCTGGAGATATGGGGACACCAGTCTTTCACTTCTGGATCCTAAATTGCCCTCTCAGGCCCCTGAGGTGGAGGGACATGCACTAGCTGAAGCTGGAGATGCTTATCTCCTCTAGTTTTTGCATGCCTGATCCCCCAGGACTGGTGACAGTCCCCCCCCCCACTGCAGAAAACGCGTGAACTTTACGGTCAGGTGTCTCAGAGAAAGCGGTGCTGCTAACGCTAATACACTTAAACCAACTTTGAAATCGAGGATTTTTGACATCCCTTTTTTGTTGACCTCTTGTCCTTTTCCTCACCCATTCTCGATGTCATCACAGAACCGCACACATCCTGTTCCCAGTCTGCAGTCGTCTCTTCTCTGTCATTCGTCTGTCACTGTCATGCCTTGCTGTGACCCCATGGCTGGACTGTGATTCTGTCGGCATTGTGTGGCACCACATGGTTTGTTCATAGTGTTTGCTGCTGTAGAGTGACGATGCTGCTGATGAAGACGTGGTGTTTGTAGAGCATAGAGACACAAATGGACAAGTCCTGCTCCAGGATCTTACCTGCTCAAATACAGAACTGTAGCGTGCACTCTCTTATTTTCTGTCTGTCGCTGTCGAGGCGGTTTTGGGCAACATGGAGGTGCTGTTATAGAGCGTCAGCTTTAATGAGATGTTGGGAGCCAAGCTGAATTACTATCAGCAGGCCATTCAATTTTTAGTTTGCAGCGGTGATGCACAGCCTCACACTTCACTGCTTCACGCAGCAGAGCTGTCAGCTCGAGACAGAGAGGCTAAATCTGCATTTCTGATGAACTGAAACATTCCCTGTGAGTTCAGGTGAAGGTTCAGCACAGTCAGACATGTCAGAGTCAGGGTCCCATATTGACATGATCACCAGAACAGAGACTGGGATTTGAGCCTTGGGTGAAGAATTTTGTCATGTAATAGGCAAAAAAAAACCCCAAAAAACCCCAACAAAACCACAAGAAACCATAGCTTTGATGACTTTGCTCTTTATTTCTCCTCCATGATTCAAAGGTAATGATTTGTGCTTAGGAAAAAAAGTCATTGTAGCAAAATATATTGCTGGTGAAGAATCTTTGGAAGAATTGGCTTGATGGATGAGTCTGTGGTCAAAACAGACCTCCTGTCCAGCCTCTTTTTTTTGTTAAAGCAGTTTTTGCTGGGTAGTAGCAAAATTCTTGCCCAGTGCCATCTGTAACCAGGATGTGACCCTACCTGGTTTTCCTAATTCATACAAAATCTCTGAAATTCCTGTCAGAAGGAAAGAGCTGTACTGGTAGAATCCCAGTCCCAGAAGTGTGCAAGAGCAAGAAAACTTGTCTGCCATGGTTGCTGATGCCTGGAATAGGGCACCTATACAAGGGAAGCACATCGCTGAAGGAGATGTTTCACCCCAGAGTGGGTCCTTTCCCCATTCCAGTTCCATCTGGTTCATTACAGGGAAAATAACCACAAGCAAGCTCTGTTTTGCATCTTCGTGCCAGGGCTGTCATTCTCAGCCCTTGTTCACCAAACCTTTCTCCACTCCCATTTTGAGACTTATAAAGAAGTGAACATTTTTCCTAATGCTTTTTTTTTTTTCTTCCAAAAATGCTTTTTCCTTCCTAACATGGTAGGTTGAAATTGTTCTAAATATTCAGTCACCTGGGAGGTTTCATTGCTTCCCCCTCAATTTTTTTGCTAAAAATCTGGTCCCAGACCTAGACCTGTTTCTCTTCTGGTTTTGTATTTGAGTGTTTGGTAGCACTGGGGGTTTCATAAAATCCATGCAAGGTATTTTGAGTGGTGTGGTGAAGCACAGCAACCATGGCATGACTCTTACTGACTAATCTGTATGAAATAAATATTTCAATGAATATTAAAGAAGGCACAAACCCCGATAACTCGAACATTGACCCATAATGTGGGGGTATGAGGACATCGTTCATAGATGCTGAACCGAAACACCCGTGGCAGCTGTGCACTGAATCCTTCTCCAGTCATCCAGCTGGAGAGCCAAATTGCTGGATGCCACCGAGAAGAGCATCTGCTCTGGTGTAGCCACAGAGGAAGAGGGGTCCTTTCCATGGGATTACTGCCTAGGTGTAGCTCAGTTACGCTCCAAGTGATACCCAGGCATTTCCCGGGAGCTTTGATTGACGGGGATGAATTACCTCACTTCCAGCATGGTCTGGCTTTTGATGCAAGTGACTTTTCTGGTTTGAAAGGTGGCCCATGACACAGGGTGACATTTGAGAGAAGCAGCAGCAAGCTGCTTGTATTCTGTGTGTGCCTCTGAGCTACCTGGTGCAATGGAATGAATCGCTTCCTAGGGTTCCATTAAAATTCCATCACTGGTTACTGTATTTTAATTAGTCCACTCCCTTTTCTTTGTCGAATGCACTGTCACTTTTCCATCCTCATGCTGCTTTTTGACCGTTCTAGGATGTCCCTTTCAGCACCTACATGCTTTGGGGCCTGTTGCTCAGTGGTTCTAGGACACCACCGAGCTCCAGGGCATGCAGCAGCTGCAAGGCAAAGGCATTCTGAGCCCGTCAGAGCAGAGCCTGTGATCAGGGCATCACAGGGCACGTGTGCTCGTGGTGAGTGGGGGGTGCTCGGGGGTGCTTGGTAGGTGACTAAGGCACCACAAAGGGGGGAACTGCTGGAAGGGAGAGGAGAGTCGTGGGGCTTCTTGAGATTAGTCACTGTGGGAGAAGAAGGGCAAGTGAGAAGTGTGAGTGCAGAAGGGGTGAGCTACCGAGTGAGAGAGGGCCAAGGTGCAGGGAGAGAAAAGGAGTGAAGGTCTTGTGAGGGGTGAGTAAGGTTGGGCCAGCTGGGCTCAGGTTTGGGGCAGCTCTTAGACGGGCAGTGGATTGGTAGGAGGTGTGCCCGAGCCCTGTCCTCTGTCTCACCCACACGCAGTGCTGGTTCCTGTGCAGCCAGAGGCACCCCTGGTGTTGGACCCCATTTGTAACTGGATCCTTTCTCTCCATTTGCAGAAGCAGAAGAGCTCTACCAGAAGAGAGTTTTAACCATCACGGGAATCTGTGTTGCCTTGCTTGTGGTGGGCATCGTCTGTGTGGTAGCTTACTGTAAAACCAAGTGAGTATGGGTGGCTGGCAGACAAGAACTGGCCAGAGGTTAGTGAGTGGCAGTGTTCATGCTTCACACTCTCCTGCTTTTCACCCAAATGCTATTTTAAGGAGATGTTCTGCTGTGGTGTTCTCAGGAAGGTCTCATGCAGGTAATCAGTGAAGCCATTTCCAGGCTGTGCCTGAGCAGAATGCTTTCCTGGGACCATCTGCTTATCCTCTGAAACAGCACCATTTTGCCCAGCCAGGTGATGCTGTGCCACTGGGAAAAGCTGGCCCCAAGCCAGCAGCTCACCTTTTGACAGCAGAAGCACACTGGTCTGCTGTGCAGGAGTTGTGGGCTCAGCCGTGTACATTCCAGGGACTTTTGGAGCGATCTTGATTTAACAAGAGGCTTGGTAACTTCTTTTATGGTCAGCCTTTCCTGCCTGGACAACACCTTTCTCCCTACTTAGCCTGCACCTCATCTCAGTTCAGGGTGCCCCTGGGACATGGTGTCCTACCAGGGGCATGGGTAGGCTTTGCCACTTTGTCCCTCATGCAGGATAGGTCAAGTGCCTTTCCACCAAGGCCAAGCCAGGACTTGTTCCCCCTTTTCTTCTCCTCACCTTTCTCCTTCTCCCCAGCACCACAGTGTCCCTGCCTCTGCTGCATTGGGATGGACCTTGTCTTGAAAAAGGGACCCTGGGTCCAGCTTCTCGAATTGCCCATGATAACAGAAGTTCACCTTTTGTTTGGAAAAGCAGCAGAACGTGTCAAGTGTTGAATGCCTTGTTCCTTCTTGTTTGCAACTTCCCACAAACACCATGGGAACATCCATGTGCCCAAGACTTGCCTCCTCTACTGTCTGTGGGGGCAGAGAGCCCCACGAGAGAAGTCTTCCTAATAGATTTTTTTTTTTCCTCTTCTGTTTTAAAGGAAGCAAAGGAAACAAATGCATAATCACTTGCGGCAGAACATGTGCCCTGCCCATCAGAACCGGAGCCTTGCGAACGGGCCGAGCCATCCACGTTTGGATCCCGAGGAAATCCAGATGGCCGATGTAAGACCCTCTGTCTCCATCTCCCTGCAGGCTGTTTTCCACCAGGGGTTTGGCGTGGGTGTGTGTGTGCTTACACATCTGTGTGCAAGCCCATGAGGAGCCAAACACTAACAAACTTGAGCAAAGAGATGAGATTCCGCATAAAAACATTTCCGAAACCAACATCTGAAGGGAAATGTGATTTTACTTTGAAGTACAGGATGAGATTCGGGCACTCGGGACAGGCTTGTTTTGATGAATCAAGTGTGACCCTGATTTCCACTAAGAGAGACGTTCCCAAAGTTTCCTGTTTATTAAGCTATCCTGTCAAGTCCCACTTTGTGGGATGACAAATGGGATCAGCGGGGCAGTGACCAGAGCTGACGTGGTGACCACGTTGTGCTGAAGCAGGTCGTGGTCATCATGGTCACTCCATCAGCCCACGTGCCCTTGCCAGGAGTTGTGTCCTGGGCAAGGTGGGATGACCTGATGGGGTGCCAGTGTCAGGCCAAAGAGAATGATTTAAGTCTTTAGGACTGGATCCAGAAGGGCAGTTCAGCCACTCTTGTGACTTCAGTCAAACCCCATAAACTCAATGGGTTTAAGCGCCTTGCTGGACCAAGGCCTTGGAAGGGGTCAGAAAAAGGGAAGGGAGAGGCAGAACCAAACAAGAAGTACTGAGGAAAATGAGTCCATTGAATCAGCTGTGAGCTCTGCTGGGTCACCCTTTGGATGGTAAAATCTGGCTAGGGTGAATCCTAGCCACGAAGGAAGAGGGAAAGGGAATTCTAAGAACCATAGTTCCCTAGCCCCAAATTACTGCCTCCTGCAGGGAGCTTAGTGTCACTGTGAGAAGCAGTGCTGGTTGATAGACGGAGGAATATCTCAGCACAAATATTTGGATCACACTGGGTGTTTCTGTAGGACTCAAATCTCTGACAGATTTCACATCCTTCTCTTTTTGCTGGTGTAACCTCCTGTGGGCAGACACGTGTCTCTGCTCAGTAGCTACACATGGTACCATTGTCCCCTGGGGAGACCCTTGTCTCTCCATACCCTTCTGCAGTCCCCATGCCATGGCCCCTTTCCAGTGTTCAAAGTGAAGGGGCAGAGAAGAGCCTTCACCCTCCTTGTCTTTTCCTGTAGGTTGTGGAGCTTCTGGGTTCACCCAGTCCTCACCTGATTTCACCAGAAATACCAGCTGAATTTCTCTGTGGCAGCATTCACAAACTGATGGCTGATCTGTGTGGTTCTTCATGTTTTACAGTATATTTCTAAGAATGTTTCTGCCACCGAGCACGTGATCCGAAGGGAAACAGAGACAACCTTTTCGGGCAGTCACTCCTGCTCCCCATCTCATCACTGCTCCACGGCCACTCCAACGTCCAGCCAGAGGTGATGTGTACCATTTTCCCCTGAACTTTCTCCTGCTGTTTGCCTTAGGATGCTGTGAGATTCAAAAGGTTTTCCTTTCACCTCGCTTTCTGTTTTCATCTGATGTTTGGCTCTGCGCTGGCATGTGGGCCAGGTCTACACTGCAGGTCTTTGCAGGCACAGCTAGATAGTGAGAGGTGTGGAAAAGTGGGATCCTTGACCTGCAGGGAGGTGCCAGCAGGAACCTGCAGCCCTGACATTGCTGGGAAACAGGAGGAAACCAGGCTGTGCTTCCATGCTTTTTGCACAGACCCAAATGGGAGGATTCATGTAGGAAAGGCTTTGCAAGTTGTATTTGCAGCACACTGGCCACCTGAGATAATTCATGAAGCACACACAGGCTGTTTCATACTTAGAATGTATTTGCTGCGTGGAAGACAAAGCATACAAAATATCACAAAATATTTTGGTCAGTTCCTCAGAGTCAGGGTCTGCCTTGGAACTCACAGGTTTTCACCAAAAAAAACCCCTACTCCTGCACGATTTATCACAGTCCAGAGAGTTGTGTTAGAATCTCAGCCTCTGAGGTGGTGACACCTCTCTCACTGGAAGTCTTTCTGAGGCTTTCAGGAAAACTGGGTCTAGCAGGAGAGTGCCAATATTTCTTGTGACACAGGATGAGATGTATTTTTTGTTTTAATTTCAAAATAACTGTCGGAAGGAGAGCTTCATGGCTTGGAAGCTGAACTTCTCATGGTTTTCAAGAGCATTTAAATTGCAAATAGATTCCCCTATTTTTATGATGTTAAGAAAAGTCTTTCAAATGCCCTAAGGAGAATTCTATGCTGTTTTGAGTTTGGATGCTCCACTTCTTCCTCTTACTCAGCTCTTGTGCTTCTTCCAGTAAGTGATGGTGTTTTCCATGGAGATCCCTTGCCCTTGATACGTGACTGGCTCATGTACTTCATTAGCCTGATGGGTTTGTCTCCATTCATCCAGGAATCCTAGAATTCTTTCAGCTAAAGCTCATAGGTGGCTCACAGTAGGTTTCCTCAGGGTTCAGACATTCGTCAGGGTTGAACAAGTACACAAGATCAACTTCCGATACTGAACTTGGGTTTTCAGGTGAATCCCTTCCAGATTGCTTTGGCTAGACCTCCAGCAAGCAGAGAGGAAGCCAAGAATGACTTGATGGGCTGGAAATGACGGATTTTTCCAGGGAAATCCCACCCCTCGTGAGCTAGACGGCGTGTTTTCCAGGTTTTTTGAATTTGTACTCTGCAGCCCAGCCCTGGATAGGTGTGTGCAAGCTTGAGCCAGGTGCGCAGAGGCTCCTGTGCTGGCAGAGCTGCACTTTGCTGGCCTTCCATGCTCGCTCCAAAGTCTTGGGCCATCCCTGGGCAGCTCCTGAAGAGCAAAGGTGTGCCTGGAGGGCAGCATTAGCACATGGCAGCTGTGGGGAGGAACCTACCTTGCGTAGCCTCTGGCCCTGGCTACCTGCCACCTAATTTTCCTGAGTCAAGTGCAGCAAGCAGGTGCTTCTTGAAGTCATGCCAGAGGCAAACTACTGGCATAATCAGGCTCCATTTTACTCCATCAGTGCCTCTAATGAGGACACTGTTTGAAGTTATAAATGAGCATGTGCCTGGAGCCATCAATAATTAACAAGTTCTTGGGAAGTCTTAATGAGGCCTGCTCTCCTCTGCAAACCCCCACCCAAAATCCTCCACCGGCACAGCTCCATCTGGTGCAGTTTGGAAGTTCAGAGGTGTTGTATTTCTGCCACGGAGGGTGCCAGTGTGGTGGCCGTGGTGTGGGTGGGACCCCAGTGTGCAGGTGGCCCTGTGTGACCCCGGTGAGTCCCTGTGGGATGTCCTGTTTCCCCCCAGACTAGGACAGGTGAGGCTCTGAGTGCTCAGCAAGGTCTAGCCAGCATATCATAGCTTTTGTCTAGCACCTTGAAAGTGTTTTGCTGCCAAAATCTTTTATAAACCAGTGGAAACTGAACATCCAGATCTCTCTTTGGTACACTTCTCTCTGCTAATTTTGAGTGGCTTCTCCTGGCTCCTCTCTGGTAGCAATTCCAAAGGGGCTGTCACTTGGCAATGCTGGTGGCACATTTGAAGAAACTTGGCTGACTTGCCTTGGCATGGCCAATGTGTTGCTCCACACCCAGAATGGTTTGCAAGCACAAATCAGGATTGCACTGGCCTCCCTCCAGAGGCTGTCCCGTCACGGCCATTTATTCAGTGGTGGGATAAATATCTTCTATGCACTGTTTTGCTTTCTTTGTCCTCTAGTGATATCTCCAAGAAGTAGCAAAGAAAGGCAAATCAAAGGTAGGGTTGGGAAGCTGGGCACATCCCTGGCCAGACATATCCTAGTGAGAGAGAGAAAGGGGATGCCAGTGCAGAGGTGCAGAGCTGAGTGTGAGCAGTGCTCTTTGGAGAAGAGCTCGAAGGGGATTCCTTGCTCACTGTCCACTCGGGGTTTGGTCCACAGACACGAAAGCCACACCTGGAGCTTGGAGCGAACGGAGAGCCTGACTTCAGATTCCCAGTCTGGGATAATGCTGTCCTCGGTGGGAACCAGCAAATGCAACAGCCCCGCGTGCGTGGAGGCGCGGGCTCGCCGCGGGGCCACCTTCTGCATCGAGGACTCGCGGAGGCCCACGACGCAGTACCGGGACTCGGTGGATTCCCTGCGGGACTCACCCCACAGCGAGAGGTCAGACCCCACTGCTCGGTGCCACAGTGGCACAGCGGGGTAGAGCTGTGCCCTCTGTGCACAACACAAACATGTTTGCCCTTCCCAGCCCTAGAGCAGCAGTCCCGTGGTGGCACTGGAGAAACTCCAGCTCTGTCCTGCCAGAGGAGGACACTCTGGTAGGGGCAGCAGCCAGTACTGCATCCTGCTCACCTGGTGGCAACGTAGATTTGGAGCATAGGGATGACAGGGGTGTAAAATACCCGGCTGCAGTCAGCAACTGGTGAAGAAAAACTGGCTCGAGAGTGCACCCCAGGCAGCTTGGTGGGCTGGCAGCTCAAGCAGGGTCTGGCCCTTAGGTACATGGGGAAAAGGTGTGTTTCCTCAGCACAGTCCTGGATGCCCTGGTGAGCAGGCTGTTGTATGTGGGCACAGCAGTTGGATAGGGCTTGGTATGATCCAGCCTTCCAAGGAGCACAACTGCAGAGCTGAGATACCTTCAACAGCAGTAACAGTTGTCCTTCCCCTGGTCTGGTTCCTCATGGTGCAGAAGCACATCTCCACCCTTGATCCAACCCTTTGCAGGTAGCCATTGGTGATGCTGGGTGGCCACATGGGCAGTTACTCTTCAAGGCAGTGGGACTTGTCTGTGGGCAGAGGAGAAAGGCAGTGCCTCCTGCTCTCTCATTCCTGTCCCTGGTCCATTCAGGTTGACCCAGCTCGTACAGAGATCTCATACTTCACAAAACACGTGGGTAAAAAGATGCTGAACTAGCCAGAGAGCCTGGGCAGATGGAATTGGGCAGAGATAACACTGGGACTATTGAGAGGAAATGAGATCTGCTCCTTAGAAAGAGGTGATGCCAAAGGAAGGGCTGTTTGGAGAGGAGCTGGACTAGACACGGATGGCCACACTGATGCTGTCACTAGAGGACAGTGGTAGATGCATTTTTGAGACATAAGATTTTTGCTAAGTCAGAGTAAGCAATGCCCAGGCTTTCCCCATCTGTGGCCTGAGCAGGAGGAGGGAATTTGGGGATCTTGCTTGGAGAGAAGCCTGGCAGCTCCAGAGGGAACAGAAGGCAGGCAGATGAGAGGCAGTGAAGCCTTGCCTCAACGATGCCGGGCGGGAGTTGCATGCCGAGTCCCTCTGGAGGGGCAGCCTGGGGATGCACAGTGCACAGTGTCCTAGTGCCCCACTAAAAGCAACAGGTCACCCTCCCTTGGCCCAGCAGTGCAAGCTCCCTCCACCTGGTTCCCCAGGAGTTGTGGAGCTCCAGGAGCGGGTGCACTGGAGGCCTCACAGGTCCCCGGGCCGGGTGTTCGGCAAAGCGCGGGCGCAGCTGATGGTTTTGGGTTTTTTTTCGGTGTGTCCAAACAGAGGTGTTCTTTTTTCAGGTACGTGTCGGCCCTGACCACCCCAGCACGCCTGTCGCCCGTTGACTTCCACTACTCGATGACCACGCAGGTGCCCACCTTCGAGATCACCTCCCCCAACTCGGCGCACGCCGTGTCCCTGCCGCCGGCGGCTCCCATCAGCTTCCGCGTGGAGGAACAGCAGCCCCTCCTGCGGCGCTACCAGCTCCCCTTCCAGGACACGCAGAGGTACGACAGCTACTACCAAAGGAAGACCTACCTAAACGACAGCATGGGGAGCCTTCCTTCCAGCCCCTTCCGCATCACGGAGGACGACGAGTACGAGACGACGCAGGAGTACGTCACAGCGCTAGAGCAGCCAAAGAAAACAGCCAGCAGCAACAGGCGGTGGAAAAAATCCAAACTGAACGGGCACATCCCTCACAGAGCCAGAGCCGTCCGGGACTCCTTCTCCTTGAGCAGCGCCTCTTACAGCGAGTCTGACGAGGAGCTGGTGGCCGAGAGCACCCCGTTCCTAAGCACTCAGAACAATGAGGCGGCGCACACAGAGTCGCCGCCGCTGCACCGGCCGGGCGACAGCCGGACTCACTATTCCTGCAGCAGACACAGCGCCCACGGGGAGAGCGGGCGCAGCAGCCTGGCACACGTGGCGCCCAAACCGGACCCCGACCCTCTCTAGGCACCTCCCAGACTTCGTCGCACCCGCAGACACAACCGCGTGGAGGAGGCCGGAGGAGGGAGGCGAGATAAAACAAAAACAAACAAACAAAAAAAAAAACAAACCATGGAACAAAAAACAAACAAACAAACAGGAAAAAAACAAAACAAACACAAAAACAAAACAAAAAAATAAATATTTTTATTTTATATAAAAGAGGGGGAAAAAATATAACAAATAAAATGTTTTATTTTCATTTTAGCAAAGTTGTCTTATAATAGCTAACGACAATGACTTTTTTATAGGGAATCTCTATTTATATGTAATGTCTTGATTTACAGCTTCCGAGAAAAAAAAAAAAAAAGATTTAAAAAAAAAAAAGAAGAAGAAAAGAAAACAAACAATAAAGTAAAAAAGAAAAGTGGGCCAATTTTTGACTACTTAAAAATAGAAAACAAAACTATCGTGGTGCCTTTTGCTGTATGCTAGTGCTGGGATTCATGCTGAGGATTCTGTTTCAGTAGCATTTTTAAGATCATAGATTTTTGTTTGGGAGACAACCCGTCACAAGGGCACTCTTCTGTCAGAAGAAAACAGCCTCGCCACTTTGCCCCCCTGTACCCTGCTATTAATGATCTTATTCTTTAAAGTATTGTTTAAACACACATTAAGGACATGAGTGGGAGCATTTCCATTATCATGTCTAACGGGGATCTGTCTTGCCCTGTAAAATACTTGTATTTTCGCTTAAATCAGGAGAAAAAGAAACCCAAAAAGCACCGTGCTGAAATGCAAGAAATAACGTTTCTTTTGCCACACAGGTAGGAAGACAAAATGAAATCGCGCAGCAGCAGCTGCCCTCACAATGTATCTCCCAACCTTTGGCCATCTCACCTGTGGGTCTGGAGTTGGGTTGGCACAGGTTTGTGGTCAGGCAAGGCAGACACCCGTGTGATCACACCCGTGGGGGGATCACACCCTGTCAGGTACCGCTGAATCCGGGTCGCTGAATCCATCCTGGGCAGGCAGTGTGTGGTGTTCCCAGCGGGGTGGGCTCTGTCCAGCCCCAGTGCCCGTGGCTGCGTTGCCGTGCCGGTGCCGTGCTGGCCACGGCACCCCCTTGGCTGAGCGGTGCAGCCGCGGCGTGGCGTTGGCCAGGGCACCGTGTGCCGCGGTGCCGTAGGGCTGTGGGGGCTGTGGTGTCCTGTGTGACATTGTGCATGACATCCTTGCCAGGAGGACACCCAGAGGGTGGTCCCAAGGTGCGGCACGGCCGCGTCTCCCCCCGGCCGCGGTGCTGGGCGGTCGCCGGCTGTGCTGCCTCAGGGTTCAGCAGGACCCCGAGCACTTTTGGCCCCGCTTGTCGCCCCTGCCTTGGCTGGGAAGGGCCCTGTGTGGGGCAGCCCAGCGAGGGATCCTCCCCTACCACCGTGCCATGTATCGTAAAGAAAGTTGTTACCGTCACGTCCCGCCATCGGCGACGGACGTCGCGTTTCCAAACTCGGAGCAGCTCTGGCCATCGGCTCTGTGGCGCAAAGAGACAGTCCTGCGTGTCCAGGCGGCAGAGCACCCCCCGTGGAAGTGCCCCTCTCTCCTCAGTTCTCTGCAGCAAACCTGTTTACATTGTAGCCTGACTTTTTTCTTTTTATATTTTTACTTCTGCATGTCCTTTGCATTTCAGATACTGTAGATTGGATGCATGGTGAAGCTGTGACTGAGAAGATAATACAACAATTGACAGTGTATTATTTCATTTAACTTTTAGCAATAAAGTAACTAAACCCTCTATTCCTCACCCATGATGGGGTCAGATAGAAAACTCTGCTAATTTGTCATAAGATGATTGTCAAAGTTTGCTCTGGATTGTCTGAATGTCAGAACTCTCGACTGTTTAACACTTGAACATTTTTTATATTATAAATAAAATAAGAAATAACAAGCTGTGGGCTGCATTAATATCAGGCCCTTTGGGGGGCAAGTGGGGAGCTGTAACAGGTACCATCCACAGAATCACAGACTGGTCAAGGTTGGAAAAGATTTCTTCCAAATTCCCTGCTACAACAGCTCACCCAGAGCCAGTTGCCCAGGCCTGTGTCCAGTCAGGGTTTGAATGTCTCCAGGGATGGCAACACCACAGCTTCTCTGGGTAGCCTCTGTCAGTGCTTGGCTCCACTCAAAGCAAAAAAGTGTCTTCTTGCATTTAGACTGTATTTACTATTTTTTATTTTCTGCCCATTGCCTCCTGTCCTGTCACTGGACGCTGCTGAGAAGAGTCCAGCTTCCTCTTCTTCTCTGCCTCCCATCAGGTATTTATACATATGGACAATGTCCCCCTGAGCCTTCTCCAGGCTCAACAGCCCCAGCTCCCTCATCCTTTCCTCATATGAGTGATGCTCTGGTTTAGTAAAGATCTTTATGCCCATAGAGACCCATAGGTAGGTGTTTTTCTACCTGGCATGGATATTTGACTGTCACTGCAGGGATTAGGAGGTGAGTGAATGCCACCCTCACATCCCTTGGGTGGATCTCATTCCTTCTCCAACTGCAGACCAGGAGATCCTCCTTCACTCCAAATGTGGCAGCTTTTAGCTGTTCCAAGAGAGGACAAGATCTGTGGCATGTGCTGCATGCTAGCACCCATTTCAGTGACTTTTTTCAGCAGAGTGGAGATGTGTTGGGTCCAACCCTGCCAGTGCTGTGCTGTCGTGCAGCACCTGCCCACCCACAAAACAGGTCCCTTCTTCAGCTCTCCCATGGCAAATCCATGTCTCTGGATAGCCTCCCTGTAGGGGACTCACTGACAACACAGTGTATCCACAGGCATCACAGGCCCTGAGGGGGAACTCATGGCTCAGCCCAGCTCAGATCTCACTCCCTTGTTCCTGCTCAGTGAGATGAGGTGCCCAAAAGTCCCAGATGAATTCCCCCTAGGAGGAGAGGGATCTGCTACACACTGGTCTGAGACAACCCTATGGAAATGTATAGGTTGGAACTTAATGATCTTGGTTAGAAGTAGATGATCTGGTTGGAACAACATGATCTTTAAGGTCCCTTCCAACCCAAACCATTCTATGACTCTATGAATGCACAGAGCCATGAGAGAAGCCCCCAGCCCTCACGATGCTGCCCACGCTGAAGGCCCAGATAATCACACCCACAGCCTGGGCTTCTTCTGCTCCAACCCCCCCCAGGATGCCCATTAGCTTGGAGCTAACCCTGCTGGGTCACAGGCCACCCCTAACACCCATCACATGTGTTGACTCCAGATAGACCAGAGGGCTCAGCACTTCACCCTCAATAAGGCATCTCAACACTGATTTCCCAGAAGGTTAAAGGCTGAAGGATCCTGCCCTCCTGCTACGGGGCTCATGTCACCCAAGGAGGTCTTAGATGTCTAGGACTGGGGATAAAGGACTGAGGATAAAAGGTGAGGATAAAGCATAAAGGATAAAGGATGAAGGTCAAGTCCTGATTTGGGAGATATTTGCTATGTAACCCCTGGACACACCATGCCCCACTTCTGTGCAGCCCGAAGCCTTGCTGGATGAAGGCAGTGGTACGGTGCAGCTCTCCACTCTCCCGTTACTCTTGGGACATGCTCCAACTTCCCATTGCCTTTGATCTCCCATCTTCTCTCCTCCAGTGGCTCCTGGAGCATAGTGAGGTAGACAGGAACAGACAGAGAGCACCTGACCCCTTGGAAGACACTCATGTGGGAGATCACCAAGGCTTATCCCTGGGGAAAACAGAGAAATAGAAAAGAGAGGTAGGGAGCCATCGGGTTCCCAAAGCAGCCCTGGCTCTCCTCAGAATCTGTGAGCTTGTGAGTTCCATTCATGGAGAAGTTCCCCCCAAGGCTGGCACAGCAGCATCTGCATTACAAGAAAGTGCAGCTCTTGAGTCTCCTGCTGGGGTGCAGAGCAACCCTGGGGTGCGGAGCAACCATGTGGCCAAACCCCAGGGTGTGCTCAATGCAACTCATCCCCACCAAGCATCCCTGCTGCTCTCTGCTCTCTCGGTCCCTCAGAAAGGAGCTGTGGGTTTGCCCTGCACAGGGGGATCTGCGGGGATCTGTGATGCTCTGCATCTGCTAAGGCATCACTAGCTCAGAGCCATGGCAGCCTCAGGATTTTTTTTCGTGGTGATTTCTTGTTAAACGTGCCCCTCGATTCCCATAATTGTGTGCTATATTTAGAGGCAGCTACGCTACTTCAATTTTCTCTCCGATTGCCTCCGAAGGAAGCCTGCGTATCTCTCTCCTTTTTCCCCTGGCTGGTTTATTTTTAGACTCCTCATTTCCAGCCACGTGTATTCCCAGGGTTTGGCCATAAATATTTTACAGCAATTTTCACAGGTGGGGGGAGCCACCGAAGCCTCCTGCCAGCTCTGCTCTGCGTGTATGATGCCTTTGCTGCCCTTCCCAGAGGGGAAGGAACTGCTCTGCTGACACAGATCGGGTGACAAAAGCAGGAGAGGAGCACCAGATCCTGGCTTTGGGATCAAAAAGCCTCCCCCACAAAGAAGTCCCTCTGAAATGAATTTGGTGGTGTGTCCAGGAGAAGTGGTCAGGTCGAACCACCACTGTCAGGTGAGGTTGTGTAAGACCCAGAGCAGTCGTGGTGCCTGCTAGAGGGACTGGCACAGGCTGGGGATGTGCCAGAAAGCACATCTGGGTACCTGCAGGAAGAGAAGAGGATGTGGCTGCCTAACTCCTCTGAGATGCTGCTCTTCTCTCCTAGAGGTGGGTGGCTGAGTCCTTGACCTCCAGAGGGGGAAGGAGGGGGGAAAGAACTATTTTCTTCCAGGTCACAAGTTGAGGATGTGGATTGGTCAAACCAGGAATTCTGGCTGTTCTCAGTGCCCTTGTGCAGATGAGATGTTCTCACCACACCTGCATGTGTGTGTGAACCTGGATCAGGACTTGTGCACTTGGCAAACTGCTGGTAGTTTTACCCTCAGAGTGAAGTGCAAGTTTTTACCCTCAGTGCAAGTTTTACCCTCAGAGTTGTCTTGCCTCTGTCTGACATCAGCTGCCACCCCTTCCCACATCCATGGGGTGGTGAGTCACAAGGTTTTGAGGCCTTTTCCTGGTGCCCAGAGGAGACTTTGCAAGATCCTGCTTTTCTCTGCAAGCTGAGGATGGCAGA